TCGCCGCCCAAAAAGACCCTCTGGAGGCCCCACGCGGCCTCCAGCAGGCACCAAACATCGCGCCCAGACGGCCCAGGGAGCTCCCAGGGCGTCTCGGGAGGCCTCCGAGAGGCCCCCCCCAGAGAGCCCCAAGCGTCAACGTGTATTGGTTTTCGCTGAGTTTTTGAAAGTTTCTCGGATTCCCACGCACTCGGTTCGCCGACTGTCCAAAACAGCCCACGAGGGCCCAAAGACCGCACCCAAGACGGCCTAAGAGGCCTCCAACAGAACGCTCAGACAGTCCAACATGCTCTCAAGACGGCCCAAGACGCCCCGAACCCCCCAGGGGGGCGCTAAACGGGAACCCCATCCTCAAGGTCGGGGAAAAAGGGTCAGAATTACAAAGGTTCCACGTTCGGAAAAAGTCAAACATTTGACCCTTCCAATGTTATTCGCCTTGTTTTGTCTCACAGCCCCCGCAGACGGCCGACGTGGTTAAAAATGACCATCTGGGAAAGTCGACAGCACGATGCGATCGCCCAAGGGCCCCAATAGCACCCCGAACTGTTTGAAAACAATACGGGCGCCCGCAAACATTATAAACATGGTCGACGGAGGCGCCCCCAAGACCACGTCACTCTGCCAAGACAAAAGACATGGAAATGGCGTTCGTGCCCGCGCTTTTGCAGGGCGCAGGACGCCCAACACGCCCCGAGGGGCAGCGAGAGTCGCCGCAGGATGGCCCGGATGAATCCAGAGGAGGTAGACGCGGCCTACAACCTCCACCTTCCCCTCGCGGCCCTCCACCTCCCCCTCGCCCCCCCCGCCCTGCTCCTCCCCCACCTCCTCCTCTTACCCCCCACCCCCCCCCATCCTCCCTCCCCCCTCTCATCCTTTCCCCCCCCGTCATCCTTGCGTTCCCCCATGCCCTCCTGTTCAATCCCCGCCGTTATCGCCCACTCCTTTTTCCCCCAATTCCCCCGGCTTGCCCCCCTGCGTCTCCTCCCCGCCCTGCCCCCATCCCGATCCGCGCGCGGGCGCGGGGGCGTGAGGGTTGGGAGCAAGTGCAATGTTCAGATACGACGCGGGGCACGACCTGCGCGCGGGCGCAGATCGCGACGGCTGGGGGAAATATATCAGGATGCGAACATGTTTAGAATTCGCCGAATGGCACGATCCGCGGCCGGGCACAAGGATCGCATAGGCCAGGGGTAAGATCGGGCGATGTTCCAATCCGTCGACGGCGCGATTTGCGAGCATGCGCAAATATCGCGAGGGTTGGGCGCCCCCCAAGTGCCTGCGACACGGCCGTGGTGCCCACGCCGTGGGCGTCCACGTATCATAGCGGAAACGCGCCATGCAACGTTGCGCAATGCAGCGACTCACGTCACGGCGCGCTGCGGAGCGCCGCTTCTTGCGCGCATGATGTGTGAGATTTTTGCGACACGCGCATTGAATCTGTGTGGTTGGGCCTTAGGGGCGGTATCTGATGCATGCGTTGTGACAGCGTTGGAACAGCTTAAGTGATGGCAATAAAGACACGCGCGCGATGCGTGGGTGGCGGTTGGCCCCATCGTCCAAGTTGGGACGTGCGCGCGATAGCGCCATCCTTCGGCGCCACCAAAACACATTTCAAAAAAATGCAAAAATATTTTGTCGGAGCCTCGGTTTTGTTTCCTGGTGGGCGCAAGACCTGAGAATGCGCCGCGCCGTCTCCGAGCGGCCCCAAGCGCCGCGATTCGCCCGCGCACTTCCCCCGCGATGGCTCGCCCAGCTGGCGGGCGGGGCCCGGTGCTTTCATCTCTCTGAGGGCGGTGTCTCGAGGAGTTGTGCTTCGCCGGAGTTGGCGGGTGGCGCCGTGGCTGCCTGCCCCCGCCGTGAAATAATCGGCTGCTGGTCTTGCCGCGGTCGAGCCGCTATCGTCAGTTGGTCGGCGCGTTGGCGAATCGCGCGGTGGTTCCGTTGACTTGCGCCTGGATCTCGCGCGCGGCGGCTCCCGCTCACGCATGCTGCGCCCTCGCGATGCCGCCCGCGAGCGCGTCGTTGTCTTAGTCGCGCGCGTCGCCTGCGACTGGGTTGACTGCGTCGCGCAACTTGCTGCTGCCGCGGGCCCGCGCGTTCTCGGCCCCGCCGTTTTGCGACGCGCAGCTCGCGGGCGCCATGGGCCGCCTCGGGCGGGCAGCGGGCGAAACAATGTGCGCTCGACTTGCGTGGTGAAATTTTATCATGCTGAATGCTGTTTCTGCCGTGAATGCGGGGGTGCCCATGGCTGCGCCGGCGCGTCGCTGGTCTCCCGGGGCTGCTTGTTCAAGCGCAGCGGCACTCAACGGTGCTCTGTTAGCGCGGCGAATGCGCCGGCGCCGTTACGATCGGCGGCGCTCGCGGGCGCGCTGCCTTGCGCGGCCCGCCATTGGGCGCCCTGCGCGCGCAGTGGCGCAGTGCCCCTGGAATGAGGGGGGGGGGCCCGCGGCGCCTGCGCTCGGCCGTCGGGCCCCCCCCTCAGCTGCGGGCGCCCGCGTGCCGGGCCGTGCTGGGCGAGTCGTGGACGCGCGGTGCGCGCGCGCCGAGGGCCCCCGGTTCGCCGTTGCCCTCTTCGGCCGCGCGCGCCTGGGGGGGGGCCCGACCTGGGGGGGCAGCTTGTGAGATGCGGCGCCAGATGAAGCGCCGCTCGAGGTGGCGCTGGTGCTTGTGGCCCGTCCCTGAGAGCGGCGGCGCGCCGTGTCCTGCGCGGGCTCGCCTTGCCGCTGCGCGCGGTCGCGGGCCCCGCGCTGCTCGCTCCGCCGCGTCGGCGCTCCTCTTCTCATTTCCCGATTTAGTTCCTCCTGTCCGCCTCGTTTTCTTTCGTGGGCCCCCTCCCTGTCTTGGCGCGCCCCAGCGTCGCGTGGTAGGCTAGACCCCCCTCGCCCCTCCGAGCTCCGGCCGTAGCAATCCTCGTCGTGTCCGTCCTCTCGCCGGCCTCGACGGGGTCGCGCAGATGTGCCGCGGGGCCCTGAGGCCGCCGCGTTCTCTCCCGGGCGACCTCAGCGCGGCCGCGCCGGCATCGCACGCACTTTCCTGAAACGCCTGAGCACGGGCCGGATGTCGCCTTCCATCTGTCCCAGCAATTCCCTGTCTATTCGTCGTGGGCGACTGCGATCTTGTGCGTGCCTGACGTGGCTCTCCAACATCTGTCCGCGATCGATCTATGAATCTATGATGGTGAGAGACCCCCATGCAGCGCCGGCCGTCCTATTTCCCCTGTTTAATGGGTTCGCGGCGTCGAGCGAGCGTTTCTTTACTCGGCGCTTCGACAGTGGGCGGAGCAGGGGGGGGGTCTGGCTCCAGACCACTGCTCAGCGCGACTGTTTGCGAGAGCGCTGCCTCCGGGAAAGATTCCGCCCGCTCGAAGCAGCCGCTGCAGAAACAGCCAAGATCTACTCCAGGGGTGGGGGGTGGGGGGGGGGGGGGGCGAGGGCCTGCGCCGCTCGGCAAACCAATGAATAATAATACGGCCAGCAAAACATGCAATGTTTTCTTTGCCCCATCCATTTCGTTCGGTGAGAAATCCGAAATCGGCGCATTTCGGCAAAATGCCGCGCGTCGTGGGCCCTCCAGACGAGCTCGATTATATTTTCTTTCTGTCTCGAAGCGTTCCCTCTAATGCGCCCGAAACAACTCCCCCCCTCAACCCGCGCGCCCCGTCGGCAATATCACCGGTCACTGCGCTTCCAATACCTCTTGCCCCACCGTCTCCACCTCCTCGCGCGGCGCCGCAATAGTAGCGCGGCACCTGCGGACGCGCTTGAGGCGCTTCGAGAGTCCGTCCCTGCACAACCCCTGTTGCCTGTGGACGCGGGAAGGATGGTCTCGGGCTGAGGAAGAGGCGTTGATGGCACGACCTATGGGCATGTGGTATCGAAAACCTATGGCTTTAACCCTCTGCCACCTCTTCACGAATGTCTGCCTCACAACGCAACTCTGTAATGGTCTTGAAGCTCCTGTGGGCACTGCGATGTGGTCGATACGGCGTGCGTGCCCATAGTGGCCGTGGAGGGTGTGGACTACGTGGTGGTGTGGTTGCGATGCTCATGTCGCTCGTGCTGCTAAATGCAAGAAAACTCGTGCCATCAGTTTCCACCATGCCGCCGGGGTCCCCGTGGCAGCCAAGAGTCGCTGTCCATGCCCCCCCCCACCATTGGTGTCGTACGACGTCCTGTTTTGCCCAGCTGTCCCTCGATCCAATTGGAAATCACTGTCGCTAGTTAAGCGTGGTGCTTCACGTGTGGGGGCATATTCGTACACGTACAGAGCATGGTCGTACTCTTTGGTAGCTGTGCGGATACCTGCTGTGCGATCTTGTAGCTGCGCTGGTGTATGGTATATGGCTCGCGTGGTTCGTCCGTCTATTCTTCTGCTGCTGAGTATGCTCGCGCCGCAAAATTTGTTTACCCAATTCTGTTTCTCAACCCACAGTTACCAAACCTGTTCATGCACAACGGTTCCGGGACTGCCCATTGGCGCGTGCCGCTGAGCAGAACTATGTCCCACGACAGCAAGTTCACAACTGATGTCTTCCAGCCGCTCTACACCTATGGCTGGGGGGTTGTAGTAGTACATGCGCATGCAATCGCTGTAGGGTCGGTCCTGTGGCCAGGTTGGTGCCCTGGTCCCCTCGTCCCCCGAAGCCTGAGGTGCTGGGCGCCAAATCGCTGGTGCACACTTGTGCGAAAGGTACGGCCGGTCTGCGCCCATAAACCTCAGACAGCGACTTCCGAGAAGAGGAGTAGGACTGGGAGGAGGGAGGGCGGAGAGGTCGAGGGGGGGGGGGCAGACTTTCGCTCTGGCGTTGAAGGCCCCAGCGCGCGCACGCGCACCTGGGATGACGCCTCGCTCCCGGCGCTCGAGGCTATCCAAGCCCTTCTGCTCTCAAGGATGAGGAAGAGGAAGAGGATGAGGAGCACGAGGAGGACGACAAGGAGAGGTGCGAGGAAGGAGGGCGACAGGGCGGCCGCCGAGGGAGAGGGCCGCGCACACGGGCGAGCCTGCATCAGCTGCGTCTGCAGCGCAACCCTCCCGCCGCCCACGGGGGGGGGTAGTGGCACCCCTCCGTCGTCCTCTCTTGCTGCTGCTGCTCTGGCCCGACTTCGTTTCTGTCCTTTCACAGACTCGCTTCGTCAATATTCTCACTTGTCCTCCTTTCTCCAGCGTTCCCTCCCCTTCGATCTCCTCTCCTCCCATTCCTCACCCCCTTCTCCTGCTCCTCCCAACCCACGCTCCTCCCCTTCCATCGTCCTCCTCTCGTTCCCATCCTCGCGATGCTATCCTGTTTCCCTTCTCCTTCCTCCTTCTCCTCCTCATCCCTCTCCCCCCGTCCTTCCGTTGCCTCTTCCACCCCGTATCCAGGAAGATGGCATGGGAGGGGAAGAACAGAAGAAACATAAGGAACAACGGGGAGGAAAAGGGAAGAAGGACGGAACGATGAGGAAAGAAGGCGGAGGAGAATGGGGAGGGGGTGGGAGGGAAGTATGTGCAGAGTCCCTAGATCATCCTCTCCTATCCCAATTGCTTCGACATGCCATGCCAGAGCATATTACATGGTGCCGTCTTGCCTTAGGCACTGCGTTTGAGTGACCTCCTTACCGCCCGCCGCCCGAAGCCCTCCTCGTAGAGTTCTGCTCCATCATCGCAACCTGAGCGCGCAGAAACGAAAGCGATGGACGAGCAGTGCAATCACAGGATGCAGCGGCAATACCTACGATAAGAGGCGCGCCGTCGACGAAACAGAACGGGTGTCTGCGACCGTGGTACTGTGGGCAGGCTGCGACGGAGCACGCCGGACAAGCCAACTCTGAATGGCCCGCCAACCATCTTGGTCGTTGCAAGATTTCTGCATGACCAATCAGAATCGAAACGGAGAAATCGGATCGGATCGAAACGTGCGTCGAATTGGACTGCGTAAGAGGCACAGAGTCGGAATCGAATCGGCTCGGCCGTACCAAGATGCACACCGACGACATGAAAAAAACATCAAACAACATCGGATCGTCGGAAAACCAAACAAGGCACGGATCGGACTGGCCTGAATCGGCACCGAATTACACCGATCAGATCGACATGAACCCTGCTGTCTGACGCGGGCGCAAGCACACGGCGTATGTCCGAGAACGGCCGTAAGAGCTCGCAGCCCCATTCCGACATCGGGGTCTTGCTCACACGGACGCCCACCGGGTCCAGCGAAGATGGCGGCGTGCACGCCGATCCTATTACTCCAAATTGGCACGGCCAGTAGTGGGAAGGTGGATGCGGCTGGTTCCTGTAGCGACGACTCGACCGCTTGCTTCTAAGACCCCACGTGAATCGTTCACGCTTGAGCGATCGCGGCTTCTCTGGGGCGCGGATCGCTCTATAGCGGCCGATTCTGGGCCACTGGCGGCGTTCAAAAGTGAACGCACATCGCCGCCGCGTTAACACGGCACGAACATGCCGTCCAGTCAACAACGTCTTACCAGAAGCTTGAAGACCGAAGCACCTCTGAAGCCTCCCATGCGTCTCATGAGACACACGAGGAGGGCCCGAAGAGAAACCGATGAAAGACTCCAAGGAAGCCCGGATTCTTCTGATTGTAATGTTCTGGATGAATATGGCAAGATCAATCAACATCGAACTGGGCAATCGGATCAAATCGGAACATGCGTAGGATCGTGCCGCGTCAGGAAAGAGTCGGCATCGAAACAGAACGGCCGCGACCAAAATGCACAACAACACCACGAAAACAACCTGCCATATCTGATATTCGAAACGGATTGAGCCGGTCGGAATCGATGTCGAGTCTGGTCGCCCGGATGGATCATCCACGGACCCTGCATGGTGCCCTCCCACAGTACCAACCAACCCTCCGCCGGCGTCCTGGGGACCCAACATCTCAACGGCACGGTGCTGGCAAGCCTGGAGATCGGACAACGCACACCCGAATAGCGAAGAGAGACTCACCTGGAGCAGCATCGACGACCATGTTCGGCCACGTAAGCATGGTGTCAAGCTCGATGGGCGCATGCTTCGCCCACGGAGACATTGCGGCCACCAAGGCCACTGTCGGGACTGCGACCTCGATCTCGGAAGGTGGGAGGATTACGAGGAGGAACACAAGGAGTGGCTCTGTCCATCTTCCTCCTCCTGCTCCCCCCTCCCACTCGCCCCCCTTTTCCTTTCATCCTGCTCCTTCTCCTCCTCTTCCTCCCTTCCGCCCTCCTCCTGTCCCTCCTCCTCCTCCTCCTCCACAAATGACCCCTCGGTCTCCTCGAAATGCGTACTCAAGCAAATAATAAAAAGGTCTCAAGCCCCAAATCCCCAGAATTCATTGGCGCTCCCGGTCCCCGCATGACTTTTCCAGGGGCCTGGGCCTGGACGCGCTTTTTCGGAGCCCACACTTCCCACGCGTCATAAATAAGATTGCTCAGGGGCCTTCTTGGGCCTCGTCGGGGTCTCTTGGGCCGTCTTGGAGGCACTGGGCGCTGGCTCAAGAGGCCAAATCTCACCAACCCTCTGGAAATCTATGGTTTAGCGCCTTTCCTCTTCCAATCCCGTCTTCCAATCCCGTCTTCCGGATTTACCCGCCCGTGCCACCTCCCAGTCTAGACGAGGGGGTAACCACCAGTTCGAGGATCCAAGCGGAACCCAAGATGACCTCAGATAATTCAAGATGTGTTCCAAGATGGCGCAAGGTATCCAATGTTACATCTACGTCACCAAGAAGCACCGAGACTGCCCCAATATGGCTCCAAGCAGCCACATAACTACCCATTGACACCCCCGAGTGACCAAACAATGGCCAAAACCATTTGTAGTTCGAATGTGTTTGCCTTATCACCTTATCATTTCAGATGGACCTCTGAAGCTTCAAGATGGCACGGTAAAGCCCAAGATATTCCGCAAGAGTAGTTCGAGGGATGTGTTGGGCGCCGACGAAACGACCCTAATCAAGGCGTGACCATTGACACACATACGAGTGTTTGAATGATTTTGGTATCGCGGGAGCATTCTGGGGAAGCCTTGGGGCCAACATGGCTGCAAGATGGCCTCAGATACTACAATCTGGCCTCCAATACCATGCTTCCTAAAGGCCCCAAGACTGCCCGAAGTGGTATCGAAGCTCCCAAAGAAGCCACCGAGAATCAATTCATTCAAAAACCACCATCTCGGTTTTCCAATGATTTGGGCTGTCTCGCCTTTTCGATTCCGGGTGGGCTTCGGATCCCACAAAATTGCTCCGATATCCTCACTGAGAGCTACAAGAGGGGCCTGCCCGGCTCCAAGACGGCCCAAAGGCACCCAAGAGTGCCCCAGGAGGCGATGCTTCGGGCGCCGACGCGAATGCCCTAAATTAGGATCCCCTATATTTGATCGATGTCCTCCAAGATGGCCCGAAGAACGCCCGAAATGCCCAGCAGAGAGCCCAAAGAGGGTCCCGAAGGATCCGAACTTACTCCAAGCGTTCTTTTTCTCGTTCTGGGAGCGCCTTGGGGTCGTCTTGTGCTGTCCTTGGGCGTTTTGCGGGCTCACCGAGAGGCGGGGAAGCGCGGTACCCGGAGTGTTACGCAGATGTCACGGGGAGGTGCGGGACCCCAGTTTTTTGGTTTATCGACTTATGTATGTATTCACTTGTTATATATATATATAGACAGATCAACGAACATGCACACTCATATGTAGGTGCACACATCCATACTACTGTTCTGACGTGTGTCCACTCGTGAGTCGAATGATGCTGCCAATGTCAATTCCCTCAATTTCCTTGTCACCCGAAGGGTGGTCTTTTTGTTGGTAAATTTGGTAGATTTGTTGTCGGCTCTGGGGACCGAAAAGCTATACATCGTACCATTCCTGGGTCGCGACGCCTCGGGAGAGGCCCACGCGGTTCTGTGCACTCAAGTCGCCCGCTGACAAAAACAACTTGTCAAAAACCGACAGCGGCCGTTGTTGGGCAGGCCACCCTGTTGCCTCGAGAGGGCAGCGTCCGCGGCGACGCAGACGGCGAGCCCTGATCGGAGTGGGCATGAACTGCTGTCGGACGTCGTCCCCTTTGGGAACACCAGAATCAATTTTTTTGGGGTCCGGGAGTGCGTTCCGAGCCCCGCTGAGGCCGCCGGGGAAGGCTGTGGAGGTGCTCGGAAGCGGGCGGGGCCCCGGGTGACGCCAGAGCCGCGTTTCTGGGCGGTCCAGGAATGGATTCCGAGGCCCACTGAGGCCGCGGCGCGTAGTCGGCACGGAGGCCAGGCCGCAGGGGATGCCGGAATCGCATCCCTGGGCGGTCCCAGGAAGCTTCCCGAGGCCCCGAGGCCGCGGCGCGCAGCCCGCACAGAGGCTGGGCTCGCGAGCGCGAGGGGGCCCGCCGCGAGAGGCCATAACTGGTTGCGGGGGCGAAGGGCACGAGCAACGAGACGGGGGCGAAATTGCAGGGAGGAGGAGAGGCACGGAGAAGAAGCGAGAACACGAAGGAACGTTCGCGTGAGACAACTGCAACCCCCACGGTGAGTCGAACGTGGTCCCGCCGTCTGAAAGTTGCAGGGGCTAAGCCTAACAGGCACGCGTCACGGGTGTACCCGTCCCGATCGTCCCTTGGTGCGGGGGAAGAAAGGGGAGAGAAGAAGACGCGGCATCGGGAAGGGGCCTTCAAGTCCTGCTTCATCACCTCTGTCTCCTGAATCGCCTCCTCGAACTCAGCGGGTAGACCCACAGACCTTCTGCCAACGCGCATCGGAATTCATGACGAACACGCAACTCCATATGCATCACGATGTTCAACGTCTCTGCCGCAAGAAGGAGCAGCAGTAGCAGGGATTGAGGAGGCCTTGGCGAGTGCGCGTCCAGGCGAACACTCAGCTCAACACGAATCGGGCAACATCGACTAACTTATCCTGGCGAAGGACCCAATCATATGCAGTTGTGGGTGCCGTGGTGTGGGTCCATCTCTCGACAGGTCTTCCTACGGGGCCACCAACTCGGGATGGAATGGTTCCCTCTCGGGGCCGACAAGTTCCCTCTCCCGCCCTCCTGCTCCTCCTCCTGCTCCTCCTCCTGCTCCTCCTCCGGTGTACTGTGGAGCTCCCTATAAGGCCACGATCGTTGTGAGTGGTGTACCGAAGTGGGTGCGGCGCCGTGCCGAGCTCCAGCGGGTGGAATTTAAGCTCTACCATCTAATGCTCCTGCGCTAACGTGACGCCGACTTGCCCATGCGTGCTGGTCCCGAATGCGAGAGCGGAGCAGGTCCTTGCTTCTGCTGGAGCTCGCTGCCGCAACACGTGTGCCACCAGTCCTCTAAATCTGCTGGAGTGGCGACGGCCCGAGCCGCATGGAGCCTCTTGATGGCCAAGAATATGCACAGAATATTGTCGCTCTTGTCTTCCATGTTGGTGCTGCTAAGAGTGGTGACGACTGATGCGCCTGCGTGCACATGAAGTGACCCTAAATCGTGTCCTGAACCGAACCCGCCGCTTTCACGTGCTCCTCGTACTTGGCACTTGCTGCTGTCATTCCGATAAACACAGGGTGGCCCGACGGGCCTTTGAAGTGAACGTCGCCAGCCTCCCTCGCCCTCATGCGCGCCTCCAGCTGCAGCATTCGACGCCTTTCCCAGCTGTCCGAACACTCGCCCGAGCTCTCGCCGCTCTTGACCTTGCGCTTTTTCTGGTTCTGGCACTCTGGCGAGTGCCACGCCGACGGGGAGAAGTAGGAGGAGGAGGAGGAGGAGCCGCGACCCCATGAAACGACGCGCGGAGTGCAGGCAAAAGAGAGGCGGCGGCGGCAGGAAAAGCAGAGGATAGCGCAATCGATCACAAAAACACTCGGGTCCCCAGGGCGCTCAGGGCCCAGCCGAGGCTTCGCGGCCACGCCATGCGAACCCGAGAGGTGCCCAGGGCCGAACGCCAGACACCCGAGACGGGGCCAATGAGGCCCCCGTCCCAAGGGAGCCCCAAGGGGGCTCACGAAATAGAGATCAGGCCGAGCCACTGGACCGCATCGTCCGTGACCAGCAGCCTGCGGGGTGGCACGATGGCCTGGGACACCTTCCCCTTCGGGTGGATGCCCTTCATAAAATTATCCCTCCGCCACTTACGCTGGGGATTGCCCGTCAGGGCGGCCTCGGGGTCGCACTCCCAGAACAGCTGGGTCCTCGCCGTCCTGGCCGAGAAGGCCCCGCATTGGCTGCACCCCACAAGATCCCCAGACACGTACAGGGTGTGCCCCCTCGCGCTCTCGGGGGGGACCTCTCCCGAGCGCGGGAGAGGGGCCGCAGGGGCCGTCGCTCCCGCTCGGGAGGGGGGCGCCCCTTTCGACGCGCGCTTCACACCACGAGAGCTAGCCGCCTGCGCCGCCACCCGAACCACCTCCTGAGGCCTCTCGGGGGCATCAGGTCCCTCGGCAAACGAGACCCTCGAAAGACGACCAGAAGGCCCTGGCGGCAGCGGCGCAGCAGCGGGGGAGGCGGAGGAGGAGGAGGCGAGGTCCGAAAGAGGTCGAGGGCGAGGAGGGGAGGGGACACGGGGGGATGGGGTGCAGGACCACAAACCGCGTGCCAAACCCTCGGACCCAGGACGGCTTTCCTCCTCAGCTGTAGTGGGGGCTCCGAAGGACGAGGGGGGGTCAGTCGAAACGAGGGAAGGGGTCCCACGAGGCCGAACTTCCCTGAGACAATCCCCATCGCCGTCGTGAGACCGCCGCCGTCGAAGTCCCCGCGAGTCGCCATCTTCCAGCGGGGCCCGCACCAGGCTCGGCGTGGGGCCCTCCTCGGCCCCCGTCCGACGCCGTTTCGACCTGGAGACCTCGGAGGTCTCCAGGACTCCCAGCTGCCGCTTCCCGAGGGAAGCCTCGGCTGGGGGGGCCCGAAACGCCCTCGCAGGGCAAACCTCACGTTGAAGCCTCCTGAGGCCTCTGGCGTTTCGCGCGAACCGAGGGCAGCAAGCACATCGCCACCCTACGGTGGCCAGGATGGGAGAGTGAAACTTTCCACTCTGCGCAGGGGCCGCGCCACGCGGCTGGGTGCCCCTCTCAGCCGCCTGGGGAGCGCGTCCGTCTCCGCGACGGCTGGTGCGCCGCTGCCGGCGGGCCTGAACCTCCACGCGGTCCGCCAGCAGGATGGCGGAGGACTGCGCCGCACCGATCCAGCCCGCGGTCTGCCTGACCGCCTTGAGGAGGCGCGCGTGCTCGTCGTAGGCCGCCGACGGGACGCCGTGCAGCCGTGTCCCCTTCTTGGCCGCCACGTCGGCGAAGTCGTTGCCGATCTTGTCTAGGTTGTCGGCGCCCGCCTCTGCAAGGGTCTGATGACCTGCCACCCATGTGACCTTGAGCGAGTCTGAGATGCCTCCATGATCGTTGATCGTCCTCCAGATGAGCCGCCAGAGGTCCGCATTGTCACGGCGGACGTGGCAGCAATGAGCTTCTCCGTACGTCAGCGAGTCGACCAAGGCCAGGCAGTCCGTCTTGATGTGGAGAGGAAGCCGTCCATGTCGGAGAACCTGAAGCGCGGCGTACATCTCCCCGCGCTGAGCCGTCTGCATGGGCCCTGGCAAGGGCCCGAAGGCCATGCCCTTGAGACGGCGTCCCGTAAGTATGGCCAGTCCCCAACCCGCACGGTTGGCCTCAGGCCAGTAGAGCGGACACTGCGCGGAGCCGTCCGTGTAGACAGTGCCCGTGATGTCCATCGCCTGTCCTCCCATGCCATACCACCACCGTTGTGAATCCACAGGCGGCGGGATGTCGGGCAGCATCACCCTGGGCATGAGAGCACGTGTGAAAAAGGGGTCCGCCACATGCGACCTCTTTGCCATCTCGACCAGCTCATCGTCTACCGCACGCGATCGGGCTTCTGAGTGATAGGAGCACTTCCAGAATCGGTGATGCAGATCACCAGTCCGTCCACAGCGCTGACATGATGAGGTGTCCGAGTATCCCATCTTGTGAAGCCGTAGCTGAGACCATTGAGCACCTATGACCGTAGATCGCAACGCACCTCGAGCCTGGGGACTGAGATTCCAGGTGGTGGCGTCCTCGGCTGCGTTCATCATGGCCGCGACGGGTTCGATCCAGTATCCGCGTGGGTCTCGAGGAGGCTCAGGGTGTTCTGGAGAGTGAGACGTACGCTTAGCCCAGTCTTCCCATTGTACTGACCTGAAACTGCGCCTTGCCACAGCGCGTATCCAGTTGGGGGCCATATCTTCCAGATCGAGTGTCATCCCATTGCCTGTGTGCCATCTGCAGTATGTCAGCGGTCTCCAACCAAGCCGTCGAATCGCCATCACCACTGCACTGGCTGGACCCGCAACCAGAGACCAGGACGAGATGGGAGACTGAAGGCGCAAGGACTGCAAGCGCCATGCTCGTTGTAGGACTGCACGTGGTACTCGTGCGGCAAAGACCAACTGAGCCCACGTGTAGATGGGCTCGACGACGGCCATGACCTCGGGCTGCAGGTGGGGCGCCGCCTCCAGGAATGAAGCTAGCATCGTCGAGGATCCAGTTGGTGTCTTGCTCCATCCCGTCCTGACCAGTCTCGTCATTGTGCGTACCGTAGCAGGAGGAGCCCCAACTACCTGGAGTCCGTAGGTCATGCCTGGGGCTATGCACGGGCGAGCGATTCGTTTCGACACCTGGGCCAATCCTCTTAGGCGACGGAAGCGCGGGATCCTGGCCTTCATCTGCCTGATGCGCTTGTGGACCTCGGTGTACATGAGACGAGCTCCAGCGCGACACTCCAGGCCCAGGATACTCAGCTTGGTGACCGCGCAGAATCCATGCTTGGCCAACCGCGAAGCGACCGACCTGGCGATGGCCTCCGTCGAGCCGAGGATCTTGGCCTTGTCCTGAGCGATGGGCAGCTGCAAGGCGGTGAGGACGACGACGAGGCGGGAGATGGCCGCGACCGAGTGGGCCACGATCTCATCCCGCGGCATCACGATCTGCAGCGTGATATCGTCGGCGTAAATGTCGAGGGTGTGGGGGATGGCCGCGAGAGAGGTCTGGTAGATCTCAAAGGGAAGCATCATCACCAGCTGGAGCAGGAACATAGCGACCGAGCACCCTGGGAGAACGCCTTGCATGGCGCGAGCAGCGAAAGAGTAGGTGGAGCCCCACCTGATGCGCCTCGGGGCCGCATACATAGAAAGAACTGCCCGTAGAAGTCCACGTGGGAACCCGAACCGATGGGCCGCCTCGACCACCCTGTTCCAGTCGACTCTGTCGAAGCACTTGCTGATGTCAACCATGGCCGTGATGACCTCGTCCCCGTGGGTGTGGTCCGCGGCCTCGGCGTAGACCATGGTCCTGGCGCCGACGTCGATGGTGGAGCGCCCCCTTCCCAGTGCGAAGAAAGGCCTCGTGTTGTCAGCAGCCCACCGACGAACGTGGCCTATGCGGACCTTGGTGTAGACCCTGTAGAGAGACGAGAGAAGCATGATAGGGCGAAAGCCGCCTGAGGACTTGGCAAGCAACATGACGTGAATCATCAGAGTCGGGGTGGGCCACCTGCCCCAACGCTCTGCCGCCCATAGGAGGTACACCATCATAGCGAGGGCCTCGTCGCTGAGGAGCGAGTAGGCCCGTGGCGGCATCATATCCGCTGCCAGTCCTGTGCGCCAGCTGAAGGACAAGGATGCCCTGCGGACCTCCGCCACAGTCGGAACTGGCAAGGACTCCGTCGGCAGCTTGCTGATGGCCTTCGACAACGTGTCGGTGGCATCCATGAGGTGGGCCACGTCCTGGGAGTCGAACTGCTCGCTCTCGGGGAGGTGAGTAGTGAGGGCAGCGTCGCCAAACACTAGCTCCTTGGTCGCTGGCGAGGTGACAGGCGTGGCGTTCCAGATCTCACTCCAGTACCGCATCTGGCTGTCAGCGACGGCCTGCGGCAACGAAGTGCGAATGCCGAACGCGTCCACCTCGCTGTGGGCCCAGCCCTTCAGCTTGGTCATGCCGAAGAGCGGCGCCGCGCCAGTTACCAGGGAGTCCTGGGCCCACCTGTGGAAACTGCGGACGCGCGCGTTGCCTGCGTCGCGCTCCATGCGGTGCACGGTCTCGGCCACCACCATCTGGAAGCTGCGAAGGACGATGATGCACCAGGTCCTGGAGAGCTGAACGGCGTAGTGCACCACGGGCCATGTCCAGTCGAAGAGCAAATGTCCAGCAGGTGTGTGAAGGTCCTGCCGATGACCTGGACGTGTAACTCGGACAAGGCGTTGCCACCGCCTGTCGTCGTGGCCACCTTTCTCCAGCACGTGGATGAGGTCCGCGATGGCGACCTCCAGGTTCCGCAAGTAGCGCGCCTCGGCTCCCGCGGCGGGCTGGCCCTGCCTCGGTGGGCCACCGATGGGCCGCCACACGTACCGCGGAGGGGCGCCCCGCCCCGCATGGGCCTCAGGCTCCTGGATGTTGTAGATGTGCGAGAGGTCCGACTCGACGAAGCTCATGAAGTTGGAGTAGAGGTCGTCCAGGCGCTGCCTTGCACAGTCTGCATCGGTAGGGATTCCGCGTGCCGCGTCATGGCGGACAGCATCCAGATACGGCTGAGGCGGCGGCGCACCCACCAGGGGGGAAGCGCCTGAGTACCTCGGCGCCTGGCGGGGGAAAGCCCGCGGAGCAGCCAGATGGAGCTGACACTGAGCACGCGGCTTGGCCTCCAGCTCGAAGCGCACAGGGTAGTGTGGGCGGGCTGTCCATCGATCCAGCACGCGCGGCTTGCCACAAGCCCGAACGAAACCAGGGGTGGTGAGCCAGTAGTCGATGACTCGGTAGGTGCCAGAGACCGCCGCCCTACAAGTACCCTGGCTGGGGGCCACGATCGCCGCGGGCATGACCTGAAGGAAACCGAGCGCTTCAAGGTCCTGCGGCGTGGTGTTCCAGTCCCCTGCGAAGACGAAGGGAGCAGCAAAGTAGCGCATGGCCTCCGAGATGCGCATGAGCTTCTGATAATTGACCGAGAGGTAGTCGGCACCCGCAACAGACTCCATGTAGGCCGAGCCAACGATGAAGCCACCTCGGAGTCCCGTACGTATGTGAACCGCCACGGCCCAGGAGCGCAAGATCTCAAAACTGCCAGGGGACGTGCTCCCCAGTCCACTCAGCAGAGTGGCCTGCACGTGCGACCTGACGAAAATCCCCACTCCTGCACTCGGGAGCCCGCTCTCCAAGCGACGGCACGGGCTGATGAAAGGCTGCCACCCGTGACGATGAGCCCATGTACGCGCTCTGTCCAGTGCCTCTCGATCCAGTCGAAGTTCCTGAGCCGCAACGACGAGCGCGTCCTGGGCGCCCTCTAGGAGGAAGGACTGGAGAGAGGCCCAGCAGGAGCCATTGAACGTGACGATGCCGCATGTGCGTCGAGCCGCGCAGCGCCTGCCGCGTCTATGCAGTCCCTGCATACTCCCACTGGGCCTCTGGGCTCCCCTCGACGACGGCCTGCTGAGGCGGTGCTGCTGGTGGTGCTGCTGGTGCCGTGGAGGGGGCGCTGGCGCCAGCGGGCTGCCCACCCGCGGCGCGAAAGGCGGCTGCCCGTTCCCCGCCTCCTCCTGGTAGTGCCTCGCCCAGCGCGCGAACGTGGTTGACCAGCTGGTCCAGAATGGCCCCGCCAACAGTGTTGCGGTCCTGGCCCTGAAGGATCGAGGTGTGGGCCCCCTGGAGCAGCTGTTGCAACGCGGCCACGGAAGTGGCGGCATCCGCTGGGAGGGGCGCAGCGGCATTGGCCAGCCTGGCCTGCGCGACCTCCGACTCGGACTCCACCAGCTGCTGCTTGATGCCGTCCAGCTTGGCCTGAGCGGCCGCCAGGTCGGCGGTGAGGATGTCGACCTCCTCCTGAGCCTTGATCCTCTCCGCCTCCCGCGTGGCCTGCCTGTCGAGGGCCGCCCTGAGCACATCCTCGGGGGGCATGGTGGCCCGCTCTGCAGCCTCGGCAGCAGCGAGCTCTCGGCGGGCTGCAGCGACCAGCGGGTGCTTGTCGTCGTGGATGCCCCGCAATGCCTTGAGCGCCCGCCTGCATTTGGCCACTGCCTGGGCCTCAGCTGAGCTGGCCGTGCTGGTGCTGCCGCCGCCGTCCATGGGGTCGTCCCCGCGGCCAGGCTCGCGAGCCGAAGAAGGCCGACCAGAACGAGGACGAGGCTTGGACCGCGGCCGCTGTTTGGCGCGGGCCCCAGCCTCGGCCGTGGGGCGCCCCGCTCGGTCGCGGCCGCAGGCCCAGCACGTCTCACGGGTCCCGTAGTTGGACGTGTAGCCGCAGGCCCTGGTGGCCACACACGCCCATGTGGAGCCCTGCCCGCCTCGCTTCCACGGAGGGTCCGAGGGGGGCTGGCGGGGCTCCGCCATGCTCTCGCCGTGGTGCCCTGCCAGGATGGAGCGAGCCCGCTCCACGCGCAGGACCGCCCTCGCTGAAGCACGGCGCCGCCGCTGGCGCCTGTGCCAGGCAGGGGACGGGCTGCGGGCTCCGCGAGCCGTCCTGGGCGGGCACCCGTCCAGCGCCACAGGCGCCTGAGGCACCAGCGCCCGCGCCGCCGCGGGCCGCTGGCGACTGGGGCCGTATGGCTGCTCCCCGCGCGGCGCGCCCCCGCGCGCGTGGGAGGGAGCCCCAAACGGCGCCTGGAGGAGGAGGAGGAGGAGGAGGAAGAGGAGGAGGAGGATGAGGAGGCGCTGAGGAGGAGGAGGAGGAGGAGGAGACGCTGAGGAGGGGGGATGACGACGGAGGAGGACAGGGGGACGCCGAGGAGGAGGACGAGTCGCCAGGCGTCTGCTTTTCTCGCCCTGAGGCCCTGGGCGCACGGGCACCCAAACATCCAGACCCGCGCAGGAGGCGCTGCGGCTGTCGCGCATGAGCGCAGGAAAGAGGAGGGGGGCGATGGGCTGCCGTTGAGGCCTTGGGACAAAACAGGCTGGCAAGACCTCAGCTGGAACGAGAAGATTGTCGAGTATAGCCGCCGCTCGAAATCCTGCGCGTTGCGCAATCTAGAACGGAGCAGAAAGGGCACACTCGAGGAGAAGAACGGAGGACAACTTCCTCTCCTCTTCGTCATCTCTCTCGCCTGGGCCTGCCCCTCAAGTGAGGCTCCGTTTTGGGAAGGAGCCACCTCCACCTTCCAGCTAGGAGAAACGCCGAATCACGCATGAACATGCCATTCAAGAACGTGTGCAATCATTGCCCCGTTTCGACAAAGACCTGCCCTCAATTTGTAACGTGCACGCAATTGTAACATCATTGTCATAATGTTTGTGGGGTCACAAACATGAGCCCCATTTTGAAACGGAACCGCCCTCCATCCGTGCAACGTTTGCGCAATTTGTAACTCCGGGGGACAAAGATACTCGCCTTGTAGAAATCTCAAGCGCGAACCGCATTTTGAAAACTAACATGCCTACACTCTTGCAACGATCGATCAATATTAAGCTGAATGTGCGCGGTGATAAAGCGGGGATAACAATTTGGAAACGACCAACCCGCCATCCTTGTAGCTGTAGGGCTTCACAAACAAATACGCGCGGCGCTGCAACGACAACCGCAATTTGAAAACGACTGACCCTCTATCCCTGTAACTACTTTACAACTTAGCTTCCGGGTCCCAAGTTGCAAGGAAGTCTCGAGTGATACGCCGAGCCAAGCCTACGGCCTAAGGACATAGGGAGGTATCTATGAGGAAACAAGGGAGAGAAATCCGCCAGCCCCCTTGCGGGGCCATCAGGCTGCGAGGCTTAGGCTTGCTGCTCCCTGCGCCAATTCCAATTTCCAGTTTCCATTGTTACAATACTGGTTTCTGCTTCCTACTGTAAATTGTTACTGTCCGCGCGAGGGGGGGGGAGCCGAAAACTGCCCTGGTTAGTACCCCCTGGGAGGGTTCTCAGAATTCCTTGTGGGGTGAAAATGTACACCCCTCACGCAGATCGGCGGGGTCAGGGTCAAAAACACAAGGGATTTGCCACATTTCTTAAATTTCCTGGCACCCCTCACGCAGATCGGCGGGGTCAGGGTCCAACAACATTTGGGATTTGCCACATTTCTGAAATTCGGTGGCACCCCTCAAGCAGATCGGCGGGGTCAGGGTCCAAAAACATAAAGGATTTGCGACATTTCTGAAATTCGGTGGCACCCCTCACGCAGATCGGCGGGGTCAAGGTCCAAAAAAAAAAGGGATTTGCTGCATTTTTGAAATTCGGTGGCACCCCTCACGCAGATCGGCGGGGTCAGGGTCCAAAAACAAAAGGGATTTGCTGCATTTTTGAAATTCGGTGGCACCCCTCCTGCAGATCGGCGGGGTCAGGGTCCAAAAACATACGGGATGTGCCGCACTCCCTCACGCAGATCGGCGGGGTCAAGGTCCAAAAACACATGGAATGTGCCGCACTTATTAAATTCGGTGGCACCCCTCACGCAGATCGGCGGGGTCAGGGTCGGGTCCAAAAACGTGTGGGATTTGCCACATTTCTGAAATTCGGTGGCACCCCTCGCGCAGATCGGCGGGGTCAGGGTCGGGTCCAAAAACACTTGGAATTTGCAACATTTCTGAAATTTGGTGGCACCCCTCACGCAGATCGGCGGGGTCAGGGTCCAAAAACAGAAGGGATTTGCTGCATGTTTGAAATTCGGTGGCACCCCTCACGCAGATCGGCGGGGTCAGGGTCCAAAAACACAAAGGATTTTTGCCACATTCTGAAATTCGGTGGCACCCCTCATGCAGATCGGCGGGGTCAGGGTCCAAAAACACAAGGGATTCCAAACATTTCTGAAATTCGGTGGCACGCCTCACGCAGATCCGCAGGGTCAGGGTCCAGAAACAGAAGGGATTTGCCACATGTCTGAAATTCGGCGGCACCCCTCACGCAGATCGGCAGGGTCAGGGTCGAAAAACAAATAGGTCCCGACACTGCTTCACGGCAAAGCCAAAGCCTCATGACTTCGCTCTTGCAGTGGGGGCCGGCGGCAGGGGGCGAAGCCCTTACGGATCCGGCCGCTCCCGCCCTGCGGTGTGGGCCGTGCGAGACCTCTCTGACAGAGTGTCTGGCACAGTCTTTGGCCCCCTTCTCCAGTGCCTGGTCATAAACCTCCTGAAAGTCCCTCCGAGGGGGCCCCACTCTGCCGCCGGCCCCCCCCCCCCCTCAAGGTCTCAAACGGCCCGGGGACGACCCAAGGGCGCCCCAAGCCGGTCCAAGAGAGTCCCGAGCAGTCCAAGAGAGCCTCCAGACGGTTCCAGAGCGCTCCAAGACGCCCAAGATGGCCTCCAGACGGTCCAAGACGCCTCCAAGACGGCCCAAGAGGGCTCCAAGAGCACCCCCAAGACAGCCCCGAGAAGCAAAAATTTGTGTTTTTCCAACGGTTTTTGAAGGATGTTCACGTTCACGCCATTTCGGCTTACCCACGCTCCACGACGGCCCAAGAGGCCCCCAAGACCGCCCCAGGACGGCCCAACAGGCCCCCAAGACGGCCCAAGAGGGCCCCAAGGCCGCCCAAGAGTCCTCCAGGACGGCCCAAGAGGGGCCCCAGGATGGCCCCAAGAGGAGGCCCAGAAGGGGAACCCGAGTGAACATTTCGAGCTTTCGGCTCAAGAGGCCCCCAGGAGGCCCTAAGAGGCCCCCTCGAGGCCCCCAACAAACCCCAAAGGAGCCCCAAGAGGCCCCAAGAGGGCCCCAAGAGGTCTCCAAGAAGCCCCTGGGACGCCCCCAAGAGGCCCCTAAACTCCCCCCAATAGCCCCCGAGAGCCCTCTCGAGAGAGCCCACGAAGCGTCCATGAGGACTCCGAACCGAAACCCAAGCACGGTGGCGGGATGGGCCGACGGCCAATTGATCCGCCGCCCCCTGCTTGCAGGGGTGCACGGCGTGCTGGACGATTCAGGTTTTGGTTTTGGTTCTTTTTCTAAAAGGACTCCCCAGTGGGCTTCGGCCTGTCCCGCCGGCCACCCGTAATTTTCCCAAAATCCGTCTGTCAATGCCTTTGTTGCCCCAACTTGGCCCAAGATGGCCTCCAAGACGGCCAAGATGGCCCAAGATGGCCTCCAAGATGCCTCCCAGACGGCCAAGATGGCCTCCAAGACGGGTAAGATGGCTCCAAGATGCCTCCAAGACGGCCCAAGATGCCCTCCAAGACGGCCAAGATGGCCCCAAGATGCCTCCAAGATGGCCCAAGAGGCCTCCAAGACGTTCTCCAGGAGAGCCCGAAGAGGCCAAAATCATTGGTTTTCCTTAGGTTTTTGAAGGTTTTTTGCGTTTTCTTCTTTTCGGCCTTCCGACGGCCCAAGAGGCCCCCAAGATCGCCCAAGAGGCCTCCAAGAAGGCCCTATGACGGCCCAAGGGCCCCCCAAGACGGCCCCAAGAGCGCCCCAAGACGGCCCAAGAGGCCTCCAAGACGCCCAACATGGCCTCCAAGACGGCCCTGAAGCGCCCCAAGAGGGCCCCAAGACGGCCCAGAGAGGCCCCCAAGACGGCTCCAGACGGCGTCAGACGGACCAGGAACGCCCTAAGACGGCCAAAGAGACCCCCAGGAAGCCCCCAAAGGCCCCCAAGAGGCCCAAGGAGGCCCCCAAGATGCCTCCAAGAGGCCTCGAAGAGGCCCCCAAGAAGCCCCCAACAGACCCCAAGGGTGCCCCAAGAGACTCCTAACAACCCTCATCCTCCTACTCTATTTCTTCCTCTTCCTCTTCCTGTTCATAATCATTCTCTCCCATGTGTTCCCCGAAAGCTTTCCAAACCGACTCGGGGAACTCATGGTCCGATAGCTTGGCCAAGCTCTAGTCCAACTTTCGGCCACATCGGCGTTTCCAAAAAGGCAGGGGGCGGCGGTGATTCGCCGTAGGCGTCTTCGATACATGGCATACGCACCGCGTCACGACGTTCGATGCTGCGCACCACTTCGACAAACTCCCAGGGAGCGGCCGGTGATGCGCCGCTGGCGTCCTCGATAATAGGGGGAGTTGGCGAGATAAGACATGACGCACGAGGAAGCGGGGCGGAAGTGGACCCTCCTCCATCCGTCACCCATCCTTCTCATCCCGAAGCCCCATTCACAACGGGTATGGCACATCGAAGCGCAAGTCGGGCTGCGATGGTCTAGTTTCTCAGCACACGAACAGCCATGATGCCTGCAGGACTGAGGGGCACCCGAATTGGAACCGCGCTTGGGATCAACTTGAACACGGAATCGTCACTTCAATGTCGTGCCTATTGCAAGCGTATAACCAATATGCTACTTACTACTTGCGGTACATTCGTGCCGTCACTACCTCCATGTTGGGGTCTGGCACCAGGTGGGTCGTTCAACCTTGAGCGATCGCAGCTCTTCGAAAACGTAGATCGCCCAATAGTGGTTGATTCCAGGAATGGGACGCCGCGAATGGGGCGACGCAGCGTCAACACGACACGAGCCTGCCGTACTCGATTGCGCATGTACTCAGGCCTGCATGCCCGAATTATAACCCCAACATCCGATGTCTTGATTTTTCCATCTGGGCTCCCCGGAAAGCCCGACCCGTCCCTGGGACCGGTTGTTCACCCCGAATTGCTTTTTGACGGGCCAGGGGCCTGGCGAGGGCCCCAAGCCGTTCCGACCCGTTCCCCAGACACGGCTTTCCATCCTGAGTCGTCTTTGACGGCCCCTGGGCCTGGCGAGGGCCCCCTACGGCCGAACACGGTAATCCCAAAAAGCTCACGGCTCGAGGGGTCTTGGGGCCTGCAGTATTCGATTGCGCACGGACTCGAACCCTGCACGCGCGGGGCGGGCACGCGGCGGCTCCTGCCGCAGCAACTCCTCCATCTCCTGGGGGCGGCCGGGCGCCAGGCCCGTGCGGCAGACGACGTGGCGGCGAGGACCTGCTGGGACTCGGGAGGGGGGAGGGAATGGGGGAGGAGGGGAAGAGGAGGAGGAGGAGGAGGAGGAGGAGGACCAGTGTTAACCCAAAAGTCATCAACGATGTTGGAGCAAACCCTCCCTCCAAGCCCCCTCGTCATAGGCCCCTACAACGGTTCATTTCCACAGAGGGAACTGCCCCGTTGGAAGACAACCGTTTGAAGACCCTGAAACATGCCGAAACATTCGTTTCAAGATTCCAACGCCACGGATCAACCTGATTGTTGCGTCTTGACGATCCAGAATCATGCCAGAACGCCATCCCTGGGAATTCAACGCCGCGAATCAACGGAAGTGTTGACCCTCATAATCCTGAATCCTTCCAAAGCGCCATTTGTAGATTTAAAGACACATGTACTCGGCGCTATGGCGAGAACCACCTTTTGAAAAGGAGCCGCCCTCAATCCGTGAAGTTCTTGCATCCTTCACATATAGATACATACAGGGCGCGCGGCGCTAATGCGACAACCACATTTTGAAAACGGGTCGCCTTCAATCAATGAAATTCTTGAACATGTTTAAAACCAATGTGCGCGGCGCTAATGCGAGAACCACTTGTTGAAAAAGGGTCGCCCTCAATCCGTGAAACTCTTGCAATTGTGGTTGAACTAATGTGCGCGGCGCTAAGGTGAAATCCACATTTTGAAAACGGGTCGCCCTCACTCCGTGAAACCGTTGCAACTTTTTATGAACGCGGCGCTAAAGCGAGAGATGCATTTTGAAAACGGGTCACCCTCAATCCGTAAAACTCTTGCGCATCTTTAAAGCGAATGTTCGCGGCGCTAAGGCGAGAACCACATTTTGAAAACGACCCGCCCTCCATCTGTGAAGCTGTTGCTAATTGTCAAGCGTCAGGGTCATAAATGATGAGGAAGTCTCCAGCGAAACGCCCGGCCCGCCCTAAAAACTTGCCTTGGGGTGCGACAGGGAGGAATGATTTAGAAGGAAAGGGAATGGAGGAGGAGGAGGAGGAGGAGGAAGAGGAGGACCTGCTGGGACTCCCAGTGGCGGGCACCTTCGCGTTCGATGCCTAGCTGAGGCTCCGCACGGTCCTGGACAACCTCTCGCTGCGGGGAAAAAAACGACGCAAAATTGTACAGTTTGGGCCTCATGGGGCCCTCGCTGGACCCTGGCACCGCAGAGGACAACCCAAGACTAAAAGCTGGTCCCGGGGAACGGGGGAATGTCGAGCAGGAACCGGCGACACAACGCCGAGAGAACGGCGATACGCTCCCTGCATCGACTCCGCATGTTCCTGGGTGGGGCGGGCGGTCGGGCCTCTATCGGCGGTGATGAATTTGGCGATTGGGAGCCGACGCGCCCCCCCTGAGCCTATCCCCTCCCTGACGTTGCCCCTGTGGCACACTCCAAACGCCCTCTGCAATCCCGCCGCCGCTTCGGACGTTGGTGGCTTCGCAAGCTTCTTCTCGAGGGGTGCATTGCGGCTCCGCGTTGACAGACACCCCCTGCCCCACTCGACAGGCCGCTAACCAGGAACCATGCGCCTTCCTGGTCAAAAAACAGCACCAAACAAAGCGCGAGCTGAAAAGTATTTTCCGTTTTCGTTTTGTTTTCGTTTACCCTCGTTCTGTCTTCTCTCTGCCTGCGCCGCAAAAAGAAATCCAAACGAAAAAGTCGACGAAATCGCCAAAACACCTTTTAACTTGCGCCTTGGATCGGCACCCCCTCCCCCACTCGACTGGCGCCAACCACGAACCATGCGCCCCCCCACCACCCTTGTAAAACAACTCCATCAAATCCAAGGGTCGGCAAAAGGTTGTAATTTCGACATATGTTTAACATTTTCCTGGATTGTTTTCTTTTCCGCTTCAATTTTCTCTTCTAAAATCAGCGTTTTCGTTGTGTGTTGTCCAAATTCTTTCCTCCTGAAAAGGCACGTGGCGGCAAATTATGGACCGTGCGTTGGACACCCGCGAGCATTTGCACGGGCTTTTGACGGGGAGAACGGGGGTGGTGCGCCAAGGGTGCACCTGATCGAGGCGCGCCAGGTGCACGACGCGCACAGAATGCGCCAGGTGTGCCAGGGCACGTGGCAGGCACACGCCCGGTAACATTGTGACCCCTCGACCATCCAGATCAAAGGTTGTTGCAGAATGGCGGTTGGGTTGTTAGCACGGTGCATGATGCGTACACCCGACGGTAGACGAGGTTCCCTGCGTTTCAAGCTTCGGGGCTTGTTCTCGGATTACGCCTTCGCCCTTACACGGCAGCGCCCACATAATGACAAGTGTGAAGCGATGCCTGGCAAGGTCTTGCAAATTCAAGCGACGACAAAAGCGGACAACTCGCGCCTCCAAACAAGTTTTCTTGCGGCATGTGCGGCCTTCAATCTGGCACATGATAGCCCGCGGCGGCCCATGGTCTGGTCGGCGTGAGGCCGCGAGCACCTGGAGACCAGCGTCATGCTCTCCGCGATGGCGGCGCAGGCGGCCCGGCGCCGCGGGCTGCGGGGCCACCAGCTGCTCCTTCGGAGGGTCTGGAGCGCCATCGGCGTCCAGCTGGCGCGACGGGCCGTTCGGATGCTGCGCTCCTGCGTGCCGCGCTTTGAGGTGGAGGAAGAAGAGGAGGAGGAGGAGGAGGAGGAGGAGGAGGAGGATGCAGCGCTCTTCGGCCGCCGCGACGACGCCGGCTTCCGGCACGAGCCGCGGGCAATCCAGCTCCGTGCTGGCGATACAGACGCAGGGCCGGGCGGAGAGGGCGCCGGAGGCCGACGACGCGGAGCTGGTCGAGCAGGACGGCCGGGGCTCGGCGCTGACCGAGCCAGGCATCCCGGAGCCGACTGAGCTCCGCCGCCCGGCAGCGCGGAGGACGGTCTGGGCGGGGCAGAAGAGGCCGGTCTAGCGCCGGCGGCGCCCGGCCGCTCGCCAGAGTTTGCAGGGGAGGGCGGCGCCGCGCACTGCCGCCGCCGCTGGCTCTGGGTCGAGTGGCCGCCTTGCGCCTGGCGTGCGGCGCGGGCCCGCGGCCGAGCGGCTGAGGAGGAGGGGTGGTGTGAAGAAGAAAGCACGGCGGCCCAATGTGATCCACCATGCGTCGAAAAGGCCACCAGACTGCTCCCAAAGGGCCCCACGTGTCCACGGAACCCTAAGGATGCCCCTGAAACCCAACATGTTCGAACACACTTAAATAAGAACGCCACCAATGGAAGCCCACATGCTAATATGAGGTCCTGCGATGATGCTTTATGTGGCACCCTGCTTCGTTCGAGCTGGCCATGGGAATGTCGTGACGTACTGCCATTCTAGATGCATAACGCCAGTAGTCGCAACGCAATGTGGCGTGAACCTCCTCCCTCCCCCTATCGTTTTTGTCTCTCTGGGCTCCCCGTGTTCCGCCGTGTGTAAATTCGCGTTCGCGCCGCGCTGGTTTTGCGAAGGCGCGGCGCGGGGTGGCGTTTCGACAAGAAGCTTCCGCGCTGCATGCGCGGCAGAGAAGAAAATAGGAAGGGCCCTTCGACGGGAAATCTCGGTGGGCGCCCCTATACCAGAAAATCTCCGAGCGATGGTCGACGGAAAAACGCAAGCCAAACGCGCGGTGGAGGGATTTTGCCATAGGAGAGATTCTGTCACGCTTGAGGGTCAAGCCAACCATTCGACACGCAGTCTCCGCAATCCTGCGGCGCCCGCGCCTCGCGCGGAGACGGCAGCCGGGAGACCGACCGATGTTGCGTGAGGTGCCAGAGCAAGCGAATGCCCGCTCGGTCGCAGACCCGATCTGGGGGAGCCGATTCTACTGCCCGTTCGGTCTCGGTGCCGATCTGAGCGAAGGAGCCAGTGTAGCGAACGGAGGTGGCCAGCAGAACAGCTGCAACCCACACGTGGCCGAACGCCTCCATGGTCGCGGCCTTCATCGGCGCGGCCTTCGGGGGGGTATCCTGCGTCGGCTTGGCAACCGCTGTCTAAGCGCACTGTGGGTCGCCCCCCGCGCTGCCGACCTCGTGCGCTCGACGAATCTTCGCTGGCGGCGGGCAATCGTCTCGCCCCTTTTTTTTCGGCAGATTACGAAGAGCTTCTCGGGGAAACCAGCCCAAGGAAGGGTTCAAGAAGTACGTCACCAGACACCGCCTCTTGCTATCCTCGCTCCCTATGTTGTGAGGCAGCTCGTTGTGCCTGAGCGTGCCGATGTCATGCGCTGAACGTGCGACCGATAGCGCCCTCGCCCCCACCGCGCCCCTCCTAGTGCCGACGAAGTGGCACGCCTGCCACGCTTTGCGCCTGTGCAAAGGCTAACACCGCCACCCTCTGCGCACCCCCTCTGGTGTCGAGCACGTACCACGCCTGCCACGCATTGCGGGCGTGCGACGCAAACCGCCCCCACCCCTGCGCACCTCTCCTGGTGCGCGCGACTGATAACGCCCCCATCCACTGCGCACCCCCCGAGGTGTCGAGCAAGTGCCACGCCTGCCACGCTTTGCGGGCGTGCGATGCATAGCGCCCCCACCCCTTGCGCACCTCATTTGGTGTGAAGAAAACGCAACGCCTGCCACGCTTTGCGGGCGTGCGATGCATAGCGCCCCCATGCGGCCGCCCCTTCAGTTTCGAGCAAGTGCCACGCATTCTATGCTTTGCGACTGTGCAGCGCCACCCACCTCTGCGCACACTTCTGCGTCGAGAACATTGCCACACCTACCACGCTATGTGAGCGTGCGACAGATAGAGCACCCACCTCATGCGCACCCCCTCTCCCACTAATGCTACATCGCCACAACAGTCCCTCTGCCTAGCCGCCGACGCAAAAACATGTGTGTATGGCTGTAGAGGGACGTGTGTCGTATGTGGGGTACCGTGTATGTGTTGCATACATCTGGTGTGTAGGATGTAATGGACACGCCAGGTGTATACTAGCGTTGTATCGTGTGCGCGGCTCGTGTGTCTGTGTGCGTGTGCATGATGTGCTTGTGTGTGTGTGTCTGTGTCTGTGTCTGTGTGTCTGTGTGTGTGGTCGTGCGTGCGCGTGTGTGTGTGGGGGGGGGGTGCTACGCATGTGTGCGTATGTATGATGTGTGTAAGAGCGAGGAGGGGGAGGGGGGAGCTAGAAGGAGAGGGTGTGGGCGAGAAACGCGGGTGAGACGAGGGTGGGAGAGAAAACCAGAACCCCACGAAACATGCTGGGAAAACTAAGTGTTTTGTGTCTTCTCGCCATTTCACTTCAGATCCGTTCGCCCATGAGAGCCCCACGAGGGGCCCAACAAAGCTCTGGATCCAGACGTGGCGACGAGAAGCGCCCAGGAGGCCTGAACATGAACGAAAAACACTAGGGACTGCCGCCGTTACCTCGACTGGCCCTCTGAGTGGCAACGTTATAGGGGACCGGCTCAGGGGGGGAAACATCAACCTGGAATCGGCGATCCAGCTCAGCGGGAAAACCATCGACATGGAATCGGCGATACATCGCCGATAGATCGGCGATAGGCCCCCGATGGCGAATCTGCACACTCCTGGGCGAGGTGGGGCTATCGGGCCCCTATCGGCGATGAATGGACGACTGGGGGTCGATGCATCTCCCGCATGAGCCTGTGACCGCCCGCAGGCGGAGCCGACGCGTCCTTGCCGATGCGGGTCCGGTCGGTGAAGAACTCGTTGGCCGTGAATTGCGTGGCGGCCTCCGTGAGGCGGTCGATCGCCAGGCGCACGAACGTGTTGTGGTAGACGGGGTACCCTTCGGAGGGGGGCAAAGGAAGAAAGATAGAGCAGAAAAATCCACGCTCAAATTATCACCCGGGCAAGCGAAGCCGTTTAGTAAACGCGCCCAAGGAAGGAATCGAAGAGGACAGCGCTGTTTAGTAAACGCCCAGGGCCGTCTGGTAAACGCCAATTATCGGGGTCGGGGTGGCTCTTTCCTCCCTTGAAATGAACAAATCTAAATCTCAACGGGCGCATTTTGCCAATTTTCGGCCTCTGGGGGCCCTTGCCGGGCTCGGGGGCTATCAAAAACAGCTCGGGATGAGAGTCCGATCCCAGGGAAGGGGGGGTCCAGACCTCTAGGAAGAAGCGTCGCGGCAAGAACCACGACGTTGGATGTCTGGGAGGGAAGGGGCCACGAGATGGGTACGGAGGTCGCTTGGCATCGGCGATGCGTCGCCGACGGGTCGGCGATGGGCCCTCGATGGCAGAGCAGAACGTTCCCGTGCAGGCCTTGGCGCCTCTGCCCCGATCGGCGAGGAACGGGCGGTTATGGTTTAATGCTTCCCGGTTGGGCCACTCCCCCCGTTGCCGTTGCCCCCAACTCAAGGCTGGGGGGTGGTCGGGTCCGATAAAAGGGTGGGTTTAGCAAAGGAGGTTCAGCAAACCAGCTCGCGCAGCTGATTTTCGCAGCGCCTCCTGGAGCCAACGGCGGAGGGAAGTACTCGGCGGCGAAGCCGAATCCAGCTACTTGCAGCAGTCTTACTTCGTAAACCCGCTTGACCCATTCCACCCCCAAGTTCGTCCGCCCCGAAAGGATGGGGGGGCGAGGAGGAGGGAATTGATGGAGGTGGAGATGGGTGGATGGGGGCGAGGGGATAGAGGAGGCGGGGAGGACGAAGGAGGAGGATGGGGGAAAGGGGAGAGGATGGATGAAGAGGGGGGAAGAGGAAGTGCATGGAGGAGGGAACATACGAAGGGAGACGGGTGCGGAGGGTGAGGGGAGGAAAACTCTAGGTTTTATGGGTTGCGAAGGGGTCTACGGAGCTCTCGACCTTATACTTTGCTCAGGGTTGTTCTTGGCAAGTTATGGTTCTGGGATATGCCAGTCGTGAGATCACTTGCCTCCTCACCGTCCCTCCCCCCCGCTCCCATCCCTCCCTCCCTCGCTACCTCCTACTCCTTCTGATTCCACCCTCCTTCGTCCCTGCTCCTCCTCACCCCTCCCTCCTCCCCGATACCCGCCATGTGCCGCTTATTCCTTCCACTCTCCCTCGTCGTCCTCCTCCCGTGACTTTTCTCCTCCTCCTCCAGCCGCAGAGCAGGGCACCGGCGGACGCAACGCATGCCGCCCCCCCCCCCTGGGAAGGGAGGCCGCGTGGGACCAGAGGGCGAGGGAAGAGGTATCCTCTCTGGCTCACGGGAGGCCATTTACTGTTTTCTGATACCGAGGCTCGGCGAGGGCCATGATACAAGGGTACAAGGACTCGGCGAGCCGAACGGCATCACTCGAAGAACTATAGTATTGAGGCCAGCATCCAATGCTGGCGGTTCTGCTCCCAGGGTATTCTATTCGCCGAATTCTCAAAAGCAATACAAACGGCAACTGACCGAACATTGAAGTCTGTGATACCAGACGTCGGGATACAGAACCCATCTGGTCAGGCCAAATGGGAGGTCGTAAAACTGAGAGCATGGCTGGCGTGAGGCCATTCAAGATTCAAATGTTTCATCGATGCGGCTGGGTGCACCATACCTGAAAAAAACAACACTCTGAAATACTCTGAATAATAGCTGCTGCTGCGCTGGTCGCACTGTTGCGGCGATAAGCATTACATCACGTCTCAGCAGGAAAGTTGGCACTGTCAGCGCGAGATGCCCCGATATGGAACTCGCCTCTGCGCCCACTCAAGATTGTCTGTATGATCCCTGCACGAGTTGGAACCTCCCAACACATGATACGTAGTCCGCACAATGTAGCATGAACTGCTGGGCCGGAGACCACCAGATACAAGCGAGACGCGACACTTACCCAATGCTCATGAGAGGCAGTTGCTGGGGGGCACGGGACCTCTGTAGCGCGAGCGCGCTTTTAAGCACCCCACCCTCGCAATTCTGGTGAGAGGGTTGGATGCGTGCACGCGTGCACGCTTTTCCTGGCAGATCCCCATCCTCCTGCTTCTGCTTCTGCTCCTGCTCCTCATCCTCCTCCTCCTCCTCCTCATCCCCCTTATTTTTGATTCCTCTCCACCTCCTCCTCGTCCCTACCACCCCCTTCGGACGCGCCATGAACGAGACCACCGCCAAGGGGGGGCGCACGCGTACATGCGACTCCTGCAGTGTCCACCTCATCCTCCTCCTTCTCCTTTCCCTTCTCCTTTTCCTGTCTCCTCTGCGAGTCGATGCATGCTCCTCACTCTGCTCCTTCTCCTCCTGGTGAAGATGATTCCCCAAACGCCATCATGGGCAATGACCCGTTGAGCCTCAATCGATATCCCCTGTCTCTTGTGGCGAGGTCAGGGGGAGACGCAGGGAGTGCCAGGAAGAGAGAGGAAGAGAGAGAGAGAGAGAGAAGGACAGATAGAGAGAGAGAGAGAGGCGGGGTGAGAGCATATGTGATTGGGACGAAGAAAAGGGGGGATTGAATGGGGATCGTGCCACGCACGTTGCATTGCTGCATGGCCTGCTCTGCTCGATATCAATATCCATGTCAGCCCAGCAAGCGGTGGCCAGTGGCACGCCCCAGTTGATGTTAGCGCGACTGCGCCGAGCCAGGCTGACAAAAACCTCGCCGTCAATCATTCGTTGACCGATTGGCTGGTTGATCTATATTTGCCCACATCGCCTCGGGGAGGGAGTACCGAGAGAGAGGGGCAGGGGCGGGAACGGTGCAAGTCCCAGGAGGCCCTTGAGCGAGCTGGGCCTCTTCAGACGGGCCTCGGAGCACAGGCGTGGGCACGTTTGCTGAAATCCTCAGGGGAAACACGCAAACGCAAACGCAGACACGAACACACAGACACAGACAGACGCAGACACGGACACAGACACAGACTTTTTGTTGCGTCGGCGGCTAGGCAGAAGCTAACTAAACGGGCGCACCGTTGTAGCTAATTGGGCCAGCATGCAAAAGGAGGGGAGGACAGAACGGGCGGCCGAAGGGAAAAAGGCTGCACAGGGGGGCGGATCACTCCCTGGGCGGGCTGGCGCGGCCAGCCCCGCCGGCGGGGACTGAGGCGGCTGCTGCGCTGGGGTGCCTGCTGGAGCGGGGCCCAGTACGAGTACCGCTAGTCAAAACATCACGAGGCCGACGAGGAGCACGATGCGCAAGGCCGGCGGGCCGCGCGCCGCCCACGTGGGGGCGCGTGAGGTGCGGCAAGTGGAGCTGCACCCTTGGATGGACTGCATCCAGCAAAATGCTGGGCCAGCGTGTGTGTCGGGCGGCAAGACCATGCCCGGGTCCCCGTGCGTGGCGGCGGCAGGCAGCGGCCCACGCGCCACCGCGGCGCGCGGAGGGAAGGAAGCGGGCAGGGGGAGGGAAGGGAGGGAGAACAGGAATGAGGAGCGCCCCGCCTGCAGGATACCCCGCAGGCGGGGCGGCCGCACTAGGGCCGCGCCAGCGGCAGCAGGCTGCGCAGCGCGCGGCAGCGACGGTGAGGCTGAGGGTCTCCGAAGCAGCGCCGCCCAGGGCTGAGGCTGGGCCGGTGCGCCGTTGGCCAGACAAGCTGCGGCACCGCCAGAAGCCCCCGCTGCCCGGGTGGGCAGGGTGGGCCAAAGGCGGGCCAGGGTGGCTCTTCACTGACGGGGGGCCACGGAGCGGCGCCTCGTAGGTAAACAAAACCGTGGCTGGGGTGCGCGGCCCCCGCCGTCTGGGTGGACAGGGTGGGCCAGGTGGGGGCATCAAGCCGGAGCATGGCCCTCACTGCCCGGGTGGACAGGGTGGGCCACGAAGGGGCCAGGGCGGGCGCTCGCCGTCGGGGTGGACAGCAAGCGGTGCGCCGTGGCCAGCCAAGGCTGCGGCCGAAGCCAGTGGCCCCCACTGCCAGGGAGACAGGGTGGGCCAGGACAGAGCACCTGATCGGCGCAAGAAGCCGGGAGAGAGAACCACGCGCCGCCAGAATGGCGGGCGCGCGGCAAAGAGGTCCGCCAAGTGGCTCAGGAGTGAATATCGTCAGACGAACTTGGCGTTTTAAGGGCCACGAACTTGCATGGGTGGGCCCGTCCGGGCAATGGACCAGGGTGCTTGTCAGGAGTATGGAGGGCGGGCGGGGTTGGGCCTGGACTGGTCGTTGTTGGGCCAGGTGGGATCAGCGCGTCGCTTGCCTTTCCCAGCGGGGTCCTGGCCCTTCCTTTTGCCCTTGCCCTTGTCCCATTGGTGCTGCTCGATGCGCTGCACCTGCTTCTCCCAGGCGGCGTTCCAATCGATCAGAGGCCCCGTTTCTTCAAGACCTGAAGAATATCAAAATTCTCGTACCACAACTGGACCACTACCTCTTCGCAGAATGGGTTTTCCCCGAGTGGGTCGTAGGTGCCTCCACCGGGCCGCCCGTGGTGTGCGTCGCAGAGGGCGTTCCAGCCTATGACGAACATGGGCCCGCATTCCTTCTTCAGCCTATTGGCGACCTCGGGACACGTTCCCTGCCGACTGAAGTGGTGGTTCCAGTCGCAGTGCCAGCGGATGTGCTGGCGGGGTTTACTGTAGAGACTGTCGTTGGGGTCGTGGTGGCGCTCGTACCTAGTGTCGGTGTGCGGGGTCTTGCCTTGGGAGCGGTAGCGAGGGGTCGCGGCCGGGGGGCTCGTTAGACGAGGTGGCTCCCCCAATTGCTGGGCCGGTGTGCGTTGCCTCGGCGGGCTGCTGGCAAGCGTGCTTCTGCTCCGCCATCCTGGGAGCCTTGCGTGCGCGCTCTCCGTTAGGGTCGGCCGCTACGCCCCTTTCCGCCACCAAATCTGTAAGGGTGCCAGGGTTCCGCGAACTGGCGTCGCCGCCCCCAACGGTTATGGGGTCGCCGGAAGGGGAGGGCCGCTCGTGCTGAGGGGCTGG